TATTTAATTTTTTTTTCTTTGGTGCGTGACTTTTGGACCACCCTGTATATTCACGTCATTTTACTAAATTAAATATTTTACTTCCTATATAATAACATAAAGTGTCATTCTTCTTCAATCATATAATTTTTGAGAATATCAATTGAAAGAGAAAACTCACCTGTCTTTTTTTTCTTATCAAGTTCTTTAAACTTTAATCAATTTTCGATAAATTCAATATAACAACTCGCTAATTATATTTGTAATACTAGATGTTGAATTTTATATCTAATTGTAATTAATTCTACAGTATGATTTTCTACTATATAATTATACATGGTATAATATTAGAAAATTATATTCGTTTGATATGAGAAAAAAAAACTTACCCAACGTAAAAGTATTATTTTATGTTCTTCAATTTCTCGATTGCATCTAAATGAGCTTTTATGTTAATCAGAACTCTTCCAAGCAAAAAAAAAGAATCTTACATGTCTTCGAAGTATTCATTAAAAAAATCTATGTAGTTATTATATTCACGGTTCAACTAAAACGTTTCTGTTAAATAAATATGCGAAGCATGTGAATTGTTTTAAGGAATAAAATAAATTATCATATAGTACTTTTTTTCATCGTTTTTATACTCTAATATATTTTATAAAATGAATATTACTATGATTTAAGTAGTTGTGAAACAAGAAAAAACTCATATGAACATGCAATATTAAAGATTTTTATGATATGAGTAAATAATTTGATTAAATCGTGGTTAATATCGAACGATTCATATTAGAGCTGTAAATAATAATAAAAAAGTAAAATATTTATGAAAGGATATAATCCATCATATGCGGTCCACAGATGAATTAACGTATACGTAAGACGTAGGCAAATGCTTATGCATATATAGTAAAAACTTACAATGTTATCACATTGCATTATATAAATTTCAAGTCTTCAGTACTATTTTAAATGATGCTGTATATATATATATATAGATGTGGAAGTCGAATTGAATATAGTATAGAATAGAACTAATATCTTTATCGTGTTCTATCGTTACTTGAAAGAAGGCATTGTAGCAATCTATCCTGGAGTGAAATATTTGCGATGTCACTCCTTTTTGTACGCGCACTTTCGAATCAATATTAATCTATCGTTGTGTCGCATGCTTTTCTTACACACGTGGTGTAACTTACTTTCATCAGTTTGATTCTAACTTTCACTCTTTTCTATTATTTTCTTTACAATCGTTCCTCATACTATAGAACAGGACAAACATTGTTACTGTCACGTCAATTTATTCTAGTCTTATTTAATTTAAAGTGGTTTGCATACATTATTTTTATTTTACTAAACCCTATTGAAGACTTATCTAATCAATAAAATGTAATCTAATACAAGACTAAATAATAGTATTGATCATAATCTTAATCATGGTTGCGAAATCTCCTGATTTTTAAACTTTTCTCCTGAATTCAGCAATTAATTTTTAGGATTTTCCCCTGATTTTAATTCTTTTCTTAAACCCCTTCTTATAACAGAAGCTCTCTGATTTTCCAAAAACATTTTCACATTTTTAAAATTTTTTTGCGAATTTAAGGTAAAAACCTTGAAAATCTGTAGAAATCTTTCGAATCATTTTAGTAGTCATAGTATACGAAAACTGTTTGAGATTTATTGCAATTCTAATGCCGTTCAATACATAAGAATGAGAAAAAAAGAGAATTCTTATAGCTAGTTATATGTAGTAGCATTCCAGGCGGTGCGAAACCAGCATCATGCTCAATTTTTTCAAATTCCAGAAGATCCAACCTAATCGCCGAAAGTCTGGTGGCATAATAGGTTTTTATTTTTGAAAAAATACAAGTCCTGATTTACAAAGCTCGATTTCAAACTGTGAATTTGTACAATACTTATATATTTTCTGTAAAATGAAATATTTCGACTTCTTTCGAGTATTTTAATCGTCCTCAGCTTTTGTTTCTAAGAATATTCATCTTTTGCGGCATAAAATGGATAAGTATCGTGAGTCGGTTGCGAAATGGTAAACTGATTGATTGAAATCACATATTGTACCGAAAAATTTCGGTGAAATAGACAAAAAAACTAGCGAAAAAAATTTCGAACTCTTTCGAAAAATGGATCCAGATATGAGATACACTGGCGAACAAAAGTCTTTCCTCACTCTTTATTTCTGTACTATCATAATTTTTATAAAATTTATTGCCGAGTAGAGATATGACTTGACAGTTTTATTGCAGTACGGTATACAGATCACAACACAATAAAACTCTCAAGTTATATCTCTATTTGGCAATAAATTTCATACAAAGTATGATTGCAAAGAAACGAAGAGGCGAAACACTCGTGCGAGCATATATGATACATCCAACAAAAACCATCTTTTTAAAGTGAATCTCACAACAAATAATTAAATAACCTATGTTTTGTCTCCTTTTTTTTGCTAACTCTATCAGAAATTTATACGGTATCTCAGTTTTTTATGGCTAAAAATAAGATCGACAAAGAAGGCTTTTCAAAAATTTCAACCTGTAAAATTCTCACCTCTATAAAACTATTGATTTTTTCACAAATGATCTGGTTTCAGTATTGATATAGACCCAATAAATAATGAGTTTAAAGAGCTATAATTATGAGTCAAGTTCCAGTCACACAAAATTTTGATAATATGAATAAAATGAAAAATAATCTTCATGGATGTCGAATTCAAAATAAAAATAAAAAAATATCTAAAGTGTAACAACAATATCAAAAAAGAAGTAGGAAACAGTTTACTCTCTTCTGTTTCAATTCTTTTGTAATTTTTTAAAACCCGTTTATATCTATTTTGTTTATATTTTTCAATAAACAGCTTTGAAAAGACCAATAAAATGAACTATGTGTAATTATCTTTCTGTTTTTCTTTGTTTCGTTGATTCCGACAGACCTTTTCATTGCTCGTTTATGAAAAATTATAATTATAAATATCTGAGGGTAAAAAGGTTTGATTTTTCGCAAATAAAGTATGTGACACTGTTGTATTTTCCTTGTGGTTTCGAGAGAAAGTTTCCTGTTTTTTAACAAAAAAACCCTGTTAAACATATCGATATCATTCGCAATATTTTTGTTAAAGGGCTTTCGATTTATTACGCGTCTTTCTCTTATCAATTTTTTTTTCTTTCTATTTAATGTGTATTTTTTTCGTGTTGTTCTTTGGTCTTGTCTCTGTCGAATGTGTATGGGCACACATGTATGTTGGTGGGAAGAAGGCAGACAAGAAGCGAAAAACATGGCATTTCTACGCGTCAAAATATGCGCCTTTTATGCGACGAAAAAAAATTTTTTTTTAAAAGCAAAATGATGGAGACACTTTTTGTTGTTAGCAACTCGACTTTTTCTACAACAAACGAATTTTTCTTCCAGCGTAAAAAGCGCAGATCTTTACGCATAGAAATGCCGTATTATTCTTTATTCCTTCTTTTTCTTCCTCTTTGATATTTTTGTTCGTCATTCGAATAAAATACAACGTGAAGAGAGGGTCCTCTCATACATAGGCTGAAATTTTGATCAAACAACTATAACTCAGAAAGAAAGGTCTATTAGCCCTCATCCTTTTAGGCTTTTACTAGTCTCATCAGCGTCTATTTATGCACAAAGTATCAGCTCAAAAGCGATGTATAAGTTGGTGACCCTTTCTCGTTAGTCATTTTCTTTTATTTCCAGATCTACATCTATCTTTCCTGCCAAGATATAACTTGTCAATTCATTTGAAAATTTAATTTCATGGCTATTGAATCTGAAAAACAAATGGCATCAGTCGATTCAACAATTGTTCGTATTGTTGATAATATAAAAAAAAGTGATAGTGACTCATGGAATTATCGTGGATTAGAACTGTCAAATGAGATGCTTGTTGTACTGATAAGTCATCCAGATATTGACAAAGCAGCTGCTGCACTTGATGTCTCAATCGGTAGTTTAGCTGATCCAAGAGATGTTCCTGGTATTGCTCATTTTCTTGAACATATGCTTTTTATGGGTAGTTCGAAAGTAAATTTTTATTTACGTTTCGTAATAATGAAATTTATTCATATAAAATATTTCTAGTATCCAGGTGAAAATGAATATTCGAAATTGATAGAAGGCAATGGTGGCTATTCTAATGCTTTTACTAGTGATGATCATACAAATTATCATTTTGATATTAATCCAAGTTTATTATCCGAAGCACTTGATGTGTAAGTTTTATTAATATTTTCGTTCTTTAATCAAATTAAATTTATCTATTTTAGTTTTGCACAATTTTTTATTTCACCACTTTTTTCTGCATCGTCTACAGATCGAGAATTAGAAGCAGTTAATTCTGAATATGAAGGATATTTATCTAAAGATGTATGGCGTATTTCACAATTAGAAAGATCAACATCAGATCCGCAACATCCCTATTCAAGATTTGATGTTGGTAATACTGAAACATTAAGAACAACGCCTAAACAACGTGGCATTGATATTCGACAAGTACTTTTGGATTTTCATAAAACTGAATATTCATCAAATCGAATGAGCTTAGCTATACTTAGCAATCGTGTGTGAATAAATTATTTCATAAATAAAATAAATATCAAATTAATTATTTAGAATCACTTGATGAACTTCAATCACTTGCTATGAAAAGTTTTAATGATGTTCCAGATAAAAAATTAGGACAAGTTAAATATCCTGCGGATCCATATGGTGAAAGTCAGCGAAAAGTTAGTTTTTATTTCAATAGAGTTTCAAAATTTCTTTTTTTATTTAAGACAATATGTTATGTTGTTCCTGTTAAAGAATATCGTTATTTAACAATAAATTGGGTTATACCTGATCATAAAGATTTATATTATTGTAATGTAAGTATAAAACAGTTTATTATTTTATTTTGATCATCATATATTGAGAATATCTCGATTTCATTCAGCCTGAATCATATCTTTCACACTTGATTGGACATGAAGGTGATGGTTCATTATTATCATATTTAAAAAAGATGGGCCTTGCTACTGAATTGGTTTCTGGAGAAAAACCTACTGCACCTGGTTTTAATTTTTTTTATGTCTATTTAGAATTAACAGTCGAAGGATTAAGTAAAATAAAATCGATAGTTTTATTTAATAAATAAAAAAAAAACGTTTTCTTTCAAATTAGATCGATGGGAAGAAATTATTTATATTGTTTATCAATATATAGCTATGTTACGAAAAGAAGGACCAAAAGAATGGATTTTTGATGAATGCAAAGTAAGATAATGTTAGTTAAAAAAAGCCATATCTTATACTTTTGTTTTGTATTTAGAATATTAACGCAGTGCATTTTCAATTTCGTGAAAAAGAACGACCAGATCGTTTTGTCTCGAAGTTAGCAGGTCGAATGAGGGTACGTCTAACCGATTGATAATTAAAAGACTTGAAATCTAATTAATGTACTATAAATACTAGCGAATTTCGTTTTATTTTAACAAGAAACTCAATAGAAAAACACTTTTTTTTGCATTGTTTGGAACTATAAGATTCAAAATCATCATCTAAGCAGTTTACTTCATTGTGTGAGCTCGCGCTCTCTTTTATATCAGTTTGTTCAAATTACATGCAACCTATTCTAAAAGTTCGATTGCTTCCGTATATAAAAGGACAGAAAGATAAGAGCAAAGAGAAAAATGGTAGAAATTTCGTTCTCTTATCTTGCATATAGTACCTATATAATATATCAAAGAACGAGAAACTAACGTGAGAAATCCTTCACATGATCGTCAGAAATAACTAATTGTGTGATGAAACGAGAAAAAGAACGATGAATAATTGATATAAAATAATAAAAAGGTCACTAAAAACATTCATTAGAAGTTAACTTTCCATAGATATGTATATCAAAGAAATTCTCTAAAAAATGAATCGTGTCAAATGTGTTAATCGTATGAACAACTAATGAGTTAGTTGAATCAATTAAAGGAAATTGTTTCGTTTTATTTTTCAGGATTATCCTTTAACTGAATGTCTTTCTGCAGATTATGAACTACGTGAATTTCGTCCAGATTTAATAACTGAAGAACTTAATGAATATTTAATTCCAAGTAAAATGCGGTAAATAAAGAAAAATATTTTAATTGAATAAAATTATTCAAAATTTTATTTTTAAGAGTATTTCTTGCAAGTAAAGAATTTACATCGATTGCAACAGAAACAGAAAAATGGTTTGGTACACAATATAAACAAGAATATTTACCTGAAGAACTCATTAAACGATGTGAAACATGTGAACTTATTTCTGAACTTCATTTACCAAGACCAAATGAATTTATTCCAACTGACTTTCAACTATTTTCAAAGGAAAAACAATCCACACGACCACAATTACCAATAAAAATAAGAGTAAAATAAAAAAATATAATTTTCAAATATTCATTTTTTGTATTAAAGGAAAATGAATTTTGTCGACTTTTTTATGGTGAAGATACATTTTATAGATTACCTAAAGCATATCTTTATTTCGAATTACGAAAGTAAGATTAAAATTTCTTAGTTTATTTAAAAGTTAAATTTTGTGATCTCAGTCCATTAGGAAGTGCAGATCCATTACATTCTAATATGAATGCACTTTATATTGAATTAGTTGAAGATTCTTTAACTGAAATTGTTTATCCAGTTCAACTTGGTGGATTACAATATAAATTATATGCTTTAGATTATGGTATACAGGTAAATTCATATTAATTTCTAGTAGAAAGACATAAACATTTATTTTTAAGCTAACTGTATATGGATTTAATCATAAAATCAAACAATTACTTGAGACGATTATTGATCGTATGGTTAATATTAAAGTTAATCCTCAACGATTTGAAATAATGAAGGAAAAAGTAACTGAATTAATAATTAATTAAAATCTATTGAAATATTTCTTCTGATAGATTAAACGAGCATTACAAAGTTTTCGTCGTGAAGATCCTGATGAAATGGCAGATTATGGTGTTACATATTTAACAGCTCAACATCAATGGAATATAGATGAATTACTTAGTTGTATTGATGGTATTACTGCACATGATCTAGATTCATTCATAACACGAATGTTAACTCGTTTTTTTACGGATTCATTAATGTATGGAAATTTAACAAAAGATGTAAGTTATCAATTTGATCATAACCTTGAGTCTTTCAATTAATTGTCATAGAAAATGTCTATATATATTTTTTCTTTCTAGCATGCACTTGAATATATGAGTTTAATTGAACAAAAATTTCAAGAAAAACGTTTTTATCAACCACTTTTCCCCAGTATGTGGTTTAATCAACGTGAATTAACATTACCAGAAGGTTAGTTCTATATATACATACTTAATTTTATAAATATATTATTATTAGGTTGTAATTATGCATATACAATGTTTAATGATGCTCAGAAATTACATGCTATTGAAATATATTTACAATGTTTTCAACAAACACTTGAAAATAATGCTTTACTTGAATTATTTTGTCATTTTGTTCAGGAACCTTGTTTTGATCAATTAAGAACAAAAGAACAATTAGGTTATGTTGTTAGTTCTGGTACACGTCGTTCACGTGGTGGTGTACAAGGTTTTGAAGTTATTGTACAATCGGCTAGAAAACTTGATCATGTTAATCAACGTATTGAATTATTCATTGATTCAATAAGAGTACGTAGAAAATAAATAATGAAAAATATTCTAAATATCATACAAGAGGAGTTCTGAAATAAACTATACGACAAAGTCACACTTCTGTAATATTTTTGATGGTTTGTATCTTATTACATATAGTATTAATGCATCTTTCATGATCTGAACCGTTTATAAATATCTATAATGTTTAAAGAAATTCATAAAATGAAATATTTGAGAATTGATTAATTTGGCTGACACTATAACTTGCTAAGCGGAGTGTCTTTTAACTAATATCTAATGCTTTTTTATGCTAATTGTCTGACATAAAACAAAATCAAAATTTATTGGTTACGCTCCGAATATCAACCTTTTTTGTTATATTTCTTCCTAATGTGATATCGTTTAGAATAATTTTATTCACACATTTTTGACGATTTAATTGATTTTTAAAAAAGAAGTATTAAGAAAGTTACATAAAATCTTTTATTTTAATAGGATTATATTATGAATATGCCCGATGATTTGTTTAAAAAACAACGTGAAGGTTATATGGTAAAAAAAGTCGAAATTCCAAAGAGCATGCATAGTCAAGTATATAAATTTTGGAATGAAATAACCAACCATCAATTTTGTTTCGATCGCCGTGAGTTATAAAAAAAAATTATTTTATTTTTTTTAAAGATTAACAAAATTTATCTAGCCCAACTTGAAGTTGAAATAATAAAATCTTTGGAACGTACTGATTTACTTCAGTTTTATGATCATTATATATCATTAAATTCTGTTCATCGCCGTAAATTATCTGTTCATGTTAATCCATCTGCAATAGCATTACAAGAAACAAATGATAAAAAAATCATTATTAACGAAAAAAATGAATTAGCAGCTGTGACTAATGAGAAAAATACTGAAACAATAATTGCAGGAACTGTTGAACATACAGTTAAATTAACTGAACAACCACCTGTTACTGATACAATAACTGATAAAGATTCAGAAGAAAAAGAAAAAATTATATCTGAAAAACAAATTAATTTACCAAAAGTAAATCAGTTATTAATTAATACTTGTTGAAATATTTGTTTGTTTCTAGGAAGAATGGATTGATAACGTTCATGTATGGAAAAGTAAATTGGCATGTTATCCACTTGCTCAATCATACGATAAAATTGACGTACCAGTTCTCTGTAAATTATAAACAGAATTTTTGTAATCATCATATTTCTTTTTAAGATCTTGCATTATCTCTAAATATTTATTCGTCTAATCAAGATTTATCATATAAAATAAATATTGTTCGCAAATCATTTAAAAAATTTGATTGATTATTTTCAATCTTTAGATCATTTGGATGAATAATTATAGGGTGGGTGTGGGTGGATAGTAAACTGAGTAAGCTCAAAGACTATTTCAGATCTTTCAATAGAAATTCCTGAAACATATGAAAACCACAATTTAGGCACAGCTTTTCGTACAATTGCTAAAGCATCAATTATTCCAAAGTTTCAATTTTGATGCATGTGATGTTCACTCATTATTTTGTAGATCTCTACTCAACATAAAAACACTGTTAAATCCCGTCAAAAAAAGAAATATTTTCAGAAGTGTATTCAGGCATGTTGAAATCTTTTTTTAATATAATCAAAGAGATCTGTTAACATTCTATGCATGACAATCTAATGGAAAATACTCGACCCAGTAATCAATTGCTCTTAAAAAAGAATGAGCTGTGAGATAAAAAGGCAGAAAGTGGATGTTTTTCTTCAAAGGGATCGACAAGCTTTCTAACTACTTTTTTCTGTCTATGAACAATGTTTTCTATCATAACTCATGCAGCATTACTAATTTCATATTTTTAAAAGAAAATATTACAAAGGGAAAAGTGTATTATTAATATAATTATCTCGTTTTTCATTTGTTAAAACTTTTTTTTTCTGGGTAAAAAAAGAAGACAAAAAGAAAAAAATTATAATTCTATCTACCTACCAGTTCTCTTAATTAACATCAAAGATGAAATACTTTTTTTAACACATCAATTAGAGGCGAATTAATGTCGCAGCCAAATTGTACTTGACGGAAATAGAAAAGCATTTCTCACTCATACAAACTCTTATATTAACAAGAGTTAGTCATATTATTTCACTTTCTCTTTTCAAATATGTCATCTATAACTGTGGATACAATCAATTTTGCTTCTACACAAGTATTTCTATATGGTTACCTTTTTGTCATTATTACTGGTCTCTTTGGTAACCCAATCAACATTATCATATTTTCATCAAAAAATTATAGAACTAATCCATGTTCTATCTACTTTTTGACAACAGAAATGAATAACTGTTTGACAATTCTAATATATCTTATACCAAATGTTGTCAGTTTTATTAATGGTAAAAATGGTACAGAGACCTATCTATGGTGGTGTAAACTAATGAATTATCTGGCGGATTTTTGTTATATCTACATGATTATAGCATTGTGTCTAGCATCTATTGATCGATACCACTCTACTAGTCACAACGCCTCACGACGACAAAGAAGTTCAATGAAAATAGCAACAATTTCAGTTTTAATTGCAATATTTGTGTCACTGCTAGTGTCAATACCCGATTTAGTTTACTGGTATATCGACAATAGTTTTGGTGAACCGATGTGTATTAATGTCTCTGTAATCTATAATTATTATCTTACGTACTTCATTGGTTTAACTATTTCCACATTCCTTCCTATTATTGTTTTAACGATTTTTGGTGTTCTTACCTATCGAAATCTTAAAAGCCTGCATCAAGCCAGGCATCGTCATACAAGAGTCGCTACGAACGTTGCGACATCTGTACACACCGTTACTAATGTCTCTGCTCCACAAAATAATGACAACAACGCTCATATTTCTATAGCTCAACGTCAGAGACATACGATGACTGTCAAGAAACAACAGATTGACAGACAATTTTCAATAATACTAATTTTACAGATTCTGTCTTTCTCTATTGCGACTGTTCCTTTTTGTCTTAAGCTTATTTATTCAACTGCAACAGCAAACAATCTAAAAAGTGATATGAGTCAAGCGATTGAAGGACTCTTTTCAGCTATAACTTACATTTTTGGTTACACACCTTTCTGCACTAGTTTCTACATTTATTATCTTTTATCTTCAGCATATCGACAAAATGTAAAGAAGATATTACTAAAGAAAATACAAATACGAGCTGGAACAGTAATTAGTGCGTAATTGGCCGAAGTGACTGGATTTAGTCTCTATATGGAAATACAAAATTATAGCTATGAAAACTCGAGTGTTCTACTCTTTCCTATTCTTGTCAATTTTCAATTGTACATTTTATTGATTATATTATAAAGCAAAGCAAAAAGTCCCTTGTAGTTTATTTTCACTTAGTAGTGAAAGTTCCTCTGAAGTTTTTTATTCCTTGCCAAAAGAGAAGACGTAACTGAATGTTTCAGGTCTAGAAATGAAAATATCTGACAAAATGCAAAACAGTTAGAAGGATGCCACAGAAAAAGGATTGATGTAAGGTGTTATGGACGCTGTGCTCATATTTTGTTATTCTGAGTCAGAGAGGATGTGTTACAATGCGTGTATGCATGGAAGAAGGCGTTGCCAGCGGTAGATATATGTTGTTCTGTTCTGTGTGTTTGATGTGATTTGTGTCGTCATTCTTTTTTATATTGATTAGAGTTCGGTTACAGAATAAACTAACATCTCATATAACGGTAAACGAAAGAATTGTCTTTCTTCACAGATACATCTGTATGATTTCTACAATGAACTTTAGTAATAACTTGTCAATTCCCTAGACTGAAAAGGATAGGGTCTAGAAACGGGAATTATTTATTTACATGTATTATTTTTGTCGGTAACATGGCACAAGTGACCATTTTTTTCGCACAAATAACCATGTAACTATAGTATACTTTTGATAATATCATTTTATTTGCTATTATCGTTTTATTTGAAAAGCATAATATTTAATATATAATATTTTATTGAATAAATTAAAATAATGTGACAAAATCAATTGACTTTTAATACGCAGAAAGATGAATATAATATTAATAACAAAAAAACGAAACGTTCTTGTACACACTATTATAAAGCTTTGAAAAACATTTTCACCTATTTTTCTATAGCAAATCATTTATTATCATCAACAAATATTTTTAATACATGTTTGAAAAAAAACAATGATGTACCGAAACGTTCTGTACGACGACTTATTAAAATAAGGCCAAGAATGAGAAGCGTAAAAACATACGCATTGTAATTTGATCATATTAAAAATTTAGTTGTTGCATTATTGCAAAACATTTTTAATAAGTTTGCTAGTTTAATAGTCTTGCTATAGTGCATATAGATAAAAGAGTTCAAAACCAATTTGATTTTCTGCTGAAAGTCAAAACTAATATTAATTAACTCTCATTCGTATCTAAATACAGTTATATCAGCATGCGGATCGCGACAGTCTAGAGCCAAATGAATCGAATTTCAATGAACGCTACTTGTGGATATAGCGAATTTAAATACAAACTATCCAAAATTGAGTGTATTTTTTTCTTTTCTATCAATAAATAAAGTTTCATCTTGAAACTGATAAAAACATTTCATACATTGAAGATACATCTCTCAATTAGAGAAAGATTCTATTATTGAAAAACATATTCGGTACTTTATTGACAATTGAAAGAAACAGTTTCAATCAAGATTCATTTTCACAAGGATAAATATACAACAATACAAGTGTTATGATCAACGAAACTAATTATATTTATAAAATATCATACTTGAATATTGATTAAAATCATAATAAATTTCGCTTTTCATTATTTTTTTCAAAACTTTTCCTTCTTTTAATCATTAATCTTTTAAGATTTCTTAACTTTATTCTATATTTTCATCAAAGAAATATTATCGATCATGTTTTTCCTACATTCATCACTATTGGAATAATTATTTTTCATATGAACGATTAATAAATGAATTGATTTTATCAAATAATAATGTCGTAAATATATAAGAAAATTATTTTAACGCTCGAATGATAATTCTGTTTGATATACTTTCTCTATATATCTATGAGATTGATAAATAAGATTTGATCCTAACATGTATGTAATTTTTTCCTCGCTCAAAAGAAAACATCATGCAAAAGAAAATAGAAAAAGATGATGATGATGAATTCATGAAAGAATTATTAAGAGAATACTAGAAAATATAAAGAAGATTCTAATGCTTTTATATTCAAACTGAATAATTCAATATTAAAAATAACAAGTAGGACAAAAGACAGTTATATTTTCTCTGAACAGAAAGGTGCAAGATTATTACTGAGCATAGTCTCCGTTAGATTCATTTTTTTTAAATACTAATTCTCATTTAGTCACAAACTTTTTAGATTATTTATCTGTTACAAAAGTAGTTATAACAATTTTTAGGTATGAATATCACGATTACAAAAAGTGTTAGTAATGGAATATTAATAGCACCATATCAATTGAACATTTGGTTAGGTTGTTTTATTTTAATTACAGGAAATATAAGTACAATTGGTAATATTATTATATTTTCTTCTCGATTATTTCGTAATCGTGCATGTACTATTTATTTATTGACAGAAGCATTTGTTCTTATTTTCTTTTTTAATTTTGTACTTTTAACACGTACACTTCAAAAAGGTTTTCAAATACCACTTCTAAATCGATATGATGTCATTTGTAGACTTCGTTATTTTGCTTCACAATATACTAATTTACTTGCAATCAATTTATTTATATTTGCATCACTCGATCGACTTTTATCAACACATCGTTCACCGGGTAATTGATATATTTATTTTAAAATCATTATTACAGTTTATTTTAGCATTTAGAAAATGGAGTGGTCAAATTAATCTTGCTTATAAACTCGTGTTGGTCTGTATGATCATTTGGCTTTTAATTTCTTGTCATCGACTTATATTTTATAGTGCATTAACAGGACAATGTATAGCTCAACAAGGATTCTATGCTATTTTTGATAATTATTTTGAAGCTATTGTATCAGGATTCTGTCCACCTATAATAATATTAATATTGTCATATTTACTTATGCAAAGTGTTCGAAGTACTATTCAAAGACAAACTGTACTTGTTAATACTGTTCATAATAGATCTGCACCAAATTTAACATTTCTACGAAAAACAGATAAACAACTTACTCGTATGTTATTATGGCAAACATTTGTTGCTATACCCGCATTTCTTCCTTACGCAGGCGAATTGATCTATACAAATATTACTCAATATTGGTCGAAATCTGATCAATGGATAGCTTGGGAAGATACATGTACCGAAATAATTCGTTTGTTATCTTATACATTTTTTAGTACACGTTTTTATGTTACACTTATGTCTAGTGATGGTATTCGAGAAAAAATCTTGAATATATTTGGAATGAAAAATAGAATTAATCCAATCAACGAGCCATAAAATACAATAAATCCGACTATTGCACGTGGTATCATATAACACAAACATTAATAATATTTTTTTTTATAAAATAATAAATTTCATTGTTTGATAATGCTGACTACATGAGACACCTTTATTATCCTTTGAAATTATTTTATTCAAGTAATAACTTTAATCAACATTAAGATCAAATTTCTGTACGCGATTGTTTCCCTGATCGACAACATACAGATTATGTTGACAATCGAATGATAGACGTGAAGGATAATATAATTGATCTGGTCCTTGTCCTCCTCCATGTCCACCAATAATAATAGTGCCTTGTTTTGCACCTACTAACCATCGCATGATTCGATGATTACTACCATCAGTCACATAGACATTACCTAAATGATCGACAGTCACTCCTTTAGGATAAGACAATTGTGAGAGCGCATCTCCTCGACCTTGTCCACCAGCAACGATAATACCTTCTTTGGCATCTTTCATCCATTTCACTACACGATGATTGCATCCATCTGATATATAAATAGACAAGTTTTGGTCGACGAACATACTACTAGGACATTCAAGCTGATTGAGACGATTTCCAATACCATTTCCACCTGCCACCAGTGTTGTATTTGTTTGTCCTTCTCTCCATCGTCTTACTTCATTCTTCATGTCATTATAAACATAAATATCTCCATTATGATCTATAGTCAGTGTAAAACAGCTTATGTTTGAAATGATTGCTTGTCCCTTTGTACTATTTCGACGAGACCATCGTAGTACTTGTCTATTTTGAGAATCACAAATAATAAAAGAGTCTTTATTTTTATCAAAAACTGCGTCTAGCAACGAATCTAATTGACCTGTTTGATTCTCTGTTCCATTTCCACCGATGATAATTTGACCATTCGTTGCATCATATTTCCATTCAACAACGCGATTATTTCCATTATCAGCAATATAAATTGCTTGTTCATCATCATCAACATATATTGCATTAGGATGAGCAAATTGATTTAACTGATCGCCACGTTCATTTCCTCCGGCAACAGTCGTGCCATCTTGTATCCATTCAGACTTCATATGAACTATATTAAAAAAGGTAAATTTAACAAAATTAAAAAGAGTTAATATAAAACTTACTTGATTGTCGAGTAGTTGTTGAAATTGTAGTTGTTGTTGTACTTGTAGTATTTGACACTATTTATAAAAACAAAAGAGTTAATCTGAGATAAAACTCAATAAATTGATTAGAACTTTCTTACTTGCTATCGATGGACAGATGCGTTGATCCATCATTGCCACTGGATAGCAAAGAGGACGATCATTGCATCGAGAATGTCGAACACATATAGTACCAGATTGCTGACATGTGTTATCTGAAGTGTTACATAGTGCTAGCTGAGAACAAATTGGCCAGAGGAAGCCACATACACCACTGTTATTAGCATTTATCATGTGAAAACAACCGCACGCACTATTCATCGAACATTGAGCATATTGAGCAATGTCTTGACATATTTGAGAGCTTACTAGAATTATAATGATAAAAAAAACGAATAACTAAACATTTAAACTAGAATAAATATCAAACCTGTAATGCTGAAATAGAAAATCAAACGATATTAGAATAATCAAAAAAAAAATCAATTTTATTTACCTGACAAAAGCAAAAATAATATAACGAATTATATTTCTCATTATAGTATGTCTTAAAATGAAATAGTTTTACAAGAGAGAGAATGGCTTTTATATCTAGCACGCAGGTGATATTTTAAATCATTTTGATTAATACCTCAAGCAATGGAAATCTGATACTTACTCGATATAAAAAAAATAATAAGTAAAATCAATCGAAAACAAATTAGTATGATTTAAAAGTAAGGATTTACTTTTTTGTTATTGTATAACTATTCAATAAAAGTATCGTTAAAAGCATGAAGACAACAAACTGACCTATAAAAAATATATGATTGATATGATTCACATAATAGTTTTACTATTTTAATTATGGAGAAATATAAGATACGAGAATTTCGATCATTTAAAATAATTCAAATATTTTTTCTTTATTATATAACACACCTGAATCCTTATATTAATGAAGTAAAATACTTGTAATGGAATAGTCATTCATTTAATTTCCAGAATATATTTGAACAAGAAAGTTACTCGATATTTATATTCACTGTCGTTGTCTCAATGACAAGACATATCGATAGATTTTTTTAGAAGCAAAAGCAAAGAAAGATCTGTATGTTCTTATATTTTTCTTATCGTTAAAGTTTTTCAATCACCTTAAGAATTTGAAATATTAAAAACTATTTTTGTTTGATCTCTCATATAATCTGCTTATAGTTTTTTAATTGTATATATCGATGTGAACTAACAAGAGCGAGAATAGAATTGGAGTCTATCGAATTTTTCAATGTAATAGAAAGTATTGAGAATTTTTTTATTTTCAAGAAAACAAGAGATACAAAAAATTAAGGAAGTTTTTTCATAATATTCCATTGCTGCTGCATCTTCAATTAATACCTGAATTTTTCGGCAACTGTATTTGAGAAAGTTGCCGTTGCTGTTAGGATGATTAATGCCTTGTACGCATGCATTTATTTGTATAATTTATTTTGGTTTTGATGGATCAGTATCTGTTAAAACCAAAATAACATCTCCATACCTTCTTCGACTGATATTATCGCTTGCGCTTTCAATGATTATATGTGAAGGGCGTAAAGATCTTGGCGTGTCACATAAATGCGAATCTATTAAAGAGCAGTAAAGATTTATTTATTAGTATATTTTATTACCGGTTTCACCCGAATTTGCGGCCGCTAAGGCAGGCAAACAATTTTCTTTCGAGCGAAGCACAATATGATGAGTCGTGACCTTAACCATTTTTATGTTGAACTCTAGATAAAGAATTCCCAGCTTTGACTGAATATATTTGAACATTTTACTATCCATATGAAGATTTGTTTACGGATATTGATCAGGACGCAGTTTTTTTACGATGAGCAACAGGAATATAATAGCCAGTCTTCGAAAAAAATCCCTATTTAAAATTAAAAAATGAACTAAAGAAACGAATCATTGTAGAGAACCACTTACCATCTTCGGATGTTTCATTGGTCAATATAATAATTTCTTCGATAGTAATTTCTTTATTAATATGCTTGAGACTGATAAATTTTTCTAATCCCTCCGAAATATTCTTTATCATCTTCTTGGCTTGCTCGATGGAGATGCTGTTAAGAAATTGAATAGTTCTTGGCAGTTCAGATGTTGACTATGATGCTGCAGTTTCTACCGAGGTAGATGGAATGTTTATCTCCGCCAAATTCTTTGATTTCATCTTATCCTAATATCGCATGCTCCGAAACTTCTCCTAAAAATATAAAAGGTAAAATGCTGATTTAACATTTCTCAATATTAATACCACTTACTTGTAGTTTATTTTTCTTGCAGCCTGTTTTCTTTTTAAGTTCCTTCCATTGAGTTTTATTTGGATAAGGCGTATGAAGAGAGTAACTTCTTGTAAAATTGCAATCGATGACACTAAATCTACCATTGTTCTTGTTATAATACGCTTCAGAACCTAAAGAGGTAGCCATGCAGAACAAACAACAACAATAACTCAACAACAATAATAAATTAACAACACCGAAAAAACAGTAACAGCAGAAAAAAGAAAATAAAGAGCGTGTAAATGCGATTTGAAAGGTCCCGAATATTTGTAAAATGATTCATGGTCTTTGTAAAATTGAATAAATAATTGATTAGCAATTTCACTTGCTCTATCAATAAAAATATGGCCACTATATAATATACGTATAGCAGATATGTATAACGCCTAATGCGGATATTGTTCAATATTCATAAATGTACGCACATGAGGTTATAAGCCATAAAATAAGATATTTCGCACTTCAGTGCCTTTTATGAAACCAAAACTGTCAATAATCGTATTTTTCTGTTAAAAAAATCTAAATACAAATAGGAAAATCAGATTTTAACTAATGCAGCAGATAATAATAAACAAAATTAGATCATATAGGAGTAACTTACCTGGAAAGACTTGTTCCTTTAATTCACATTTTAATTCATCACGTTGTATCGGCTTAAGCGCTTGATAAATCGATGTAATAATTAATTTTGGATGACCAAGAAGAGATATATTTGAATAATCTAACATTATTGTTTTATGAAATTTAACATCTAAGATGTTATCAAGCAGTTGTCAATAAACATCTGGTCTACGTGATTGAATTTCATCATAATGATACTGACGCTTATTATTTATGTGCATACCTTTAATATAACAAAACCAGCAACTATAATAACCATTATGATTAATAAAATTTGTTATTGAACATAATGCTGACCAATCTGCTGTTAGTCCAAATATAATCAACTTGTGATTGACGTCCAAAAGGTTAATACCTAAAAATATACAAGGAACAGAATATGACATATATTAGTAAAACTTTTGTGTCGATATCGTGTACAACTGTTTCAAATATAATGTTGATTCATTTTTGAATTTACAGAAATTTTACATCATATCATCAAACTCATTCTTAAAGATTATCAATCTAAATAAAATACCTTCGTTTTTGACACTTCACAGTTGGTTTATAGAATAATTCAATCATAAATTGCTATGTGGTTCAACATTAGCTAACCAAATAGATATAATCACCATATTACATCGCCGAACACGTCACTTTGCTGGTAATTCTGTAATTGATCTGCTAAACATCCACATCTTTAATTTAGTTGAACCTGTGATACAAATACCATCAGTATGTAAAAGTAAGCTAATTAAATGTTGATGATTATTTTTCTTTAATATAGATTGGTATAAAATTCCAAATGGAATATCTCTGGTATTTTCACAATCATCGTTATTGTAAATTTTGTTTTTGTATTCAATAATATTCGACGATAATCTATTCATAATGTTTTTGGCGATTAATTCAGTGTTACTATCATATCTAGAATGAAAATATTAATAATAAGAGTATTGATTTAACTCTGTACAAAATTTCATGACAATGGGCTCAGCCTTTCAGGAGTTATAAAGATGTACTGAATTTTTTTATTATCCGAATATCATCAATATTCATAAGTAAAATTATAAAACTTGTTCAAATAGAATAGGACTTTGTCATACTAGAATCTCAACTATACCCACACTTCTTTTATAGCTGGAGTTTCATAAAAGTTTATTATATTTATTTAAACAATAGTTGTCAATCAAAATCTAGATAATTATATAATAATATACATATTATTGAAAAATAAAATAATTTATGGTCTAACAAGAATTCTTTCAATATTTTCTAAAAATAATCCTTGAAATTCTCCTGAATGAAATTGTGGCATATTTAATGATAAATAATATTCTTTATTTGATTGTATAACAATGTTTGTTAAATCTAAGTAAAATCCCATAAATCGATCTTTATCAATATGATCACGTGTATTATAACCTTTATGTACAATAATTGAATTATTATTTATTTGTGCAGTAATATTCCATTGATCATTTGGATTTTGAATACATATAAATAATAAAAGACGATGTGGTCCTAACCATGAAGCATCATTAAGTTCTTTTTCAGTCCATTGTATAGGATATTCCATTTGACGTTTTGTTAATTGTTCTAATAATAAATCATTAATTATTATTGTATTATTAAGAATTTCTGTTGTACGTGGTAAATATAAACCAGGAAATAATATTGGTTCAGTTAAAACAATAAATTGACGATCTTGTTTAAATTGTCTTTCTATTCCATTTAAATATACATTCCATATTGATTGAATATTTGGTAAAATAATAAATATAGGATCATTTGTTCGTGTACCAGCTTCACCATAAACACCATCAATTATCAAAATAGTTTCATTTGCTAAAAAAGCTTTTCCACTAATACCAATAAGAATTGGTTGATTAATTATTGGCATAAATATTAATTGATAAACAGTTACACTTTGACCATCTAATAAAAATTGATTCATTTCATTATATTGAATTAATTGTATACACCTTTCTTGTGGATAAATTTCTTTCAGTAGCCAATAACCAGATTCTTGTGGATTTTTTAAATTTAATTTTCCATCAAAATAAATTGTTCGATTTATTTGTTTATAATTTGTATTAAATAAAAATAAAAATCCATCAAGACCATTTGATTTCATTAATGACCAATCTTGTTCAATATTAAATGGTATACCATTACGTATTTCTTCTATATGTTCATCTGTCCAATTTAACCAATAAGACCAAAATTGTATAAATTCTATTGGTAAAAAATAAAATTCTTGTAAATCTCTTGCAGGTAATAATGTATGAACAAGATTTAAGCCAGCTGTAGCTATATTTGATAATAATGAATATGAAAAACCCATGAAATCAAAATCTCGTAAATTATTATCTATCCATGGTACGTTTCCATCAGCTGAAAAACGTTCTGATTGATGACCAATAAAACCAGGAATACTATCCATTGATGCAAAATGTTCTATACGTAATTCAGTATTTCCTTGACGCATAAAATCTGCTGAGATTTTATCTGTATGTAATGATGGATATAATATTGGATATGTTTCAGGATTTTCATCACTTAATAATGGTGATGTATATCCATTCAGCGTTATAAAAGACCACGGGCCATTATACTGATTTGCGAACCGGTGATCCATAATTAAATAAGGTAAAGCAAGTAGTAATTCCGTACGAATCCATTGCCAACCACGCCATTGACTATATTCTGTATGATGCATATCATAGAAAAAATTATAATCCCATGCATAGCCACCAATACCTATAAACATTAGAATTAATGTTCGAAGAAAGAATATTATATATATATTACCTGTTACTTGTGTAAAATCAATTAATAATTGTAAAAAATATTGTTGAAATTCTATACTTGCTAATGAAGAACAAACAGTTTTACATGATGAACTTGGATATAACCATGCTTGATCTTTTCCTTTTAATTGATAATCTAATGGTGGATAAACATATGGAACTAATTTAATTTGTTTAAATTCAGCATAATCTAACATTTGTTGAATTGTTTCAGGTACTGGATTACGATATGGTTTCCATTGTTCTAAACGAATTTGTTCACCTAATGATAGAAATAAAACACTTTCCCATCCCCAAGCATCTGAAGCTTCTTCACGACTTGATACATTTCCATTTGATGGTGCAAATGTTATACTTTTAATACCTAATTGTGAACAACGATCAATTAAACGTTTATATTCATCAATACCATGTTGAGTTGATATATCAATTTGATAATCATTACTATCCCAACCAACAGCATGTTTTATTGATCGTTGACGTTGTGGAACAGGATAGAAGAATGTTGTAGCTTTTTCATAAGCTTTTCTTTCATTATAATTTATATTACTCGTATGCCAATAAGATGATAATTGATAGAAACCAATAAGAAAACCTTCACTTAAATATGATGTATTCATACCTATATTATATGAACTTATTATTGTTTGATTATTTGACGTAATTATATATTGACCAAATGGATTTTGCCATGTTGCAAATATTCCTAATGTAGAACTAGAATTTGATCGTAAAAAAATTGTATGTTGTTTATTTAAATCTTGTCGATTTTGTATAATCGAAACTGATGAAATATTTAAATTGAGAATAGTAAATGTTGTTTGAAGTGATGTTATTGTTTCATTATTAATATTTGTAAAATAAATTTGTTTTTCAACAAATTCCCATTGAGATTGAAGTGTATAAACTGTTGTTAATTCATAATTTAAACAAGAATATGTAAAATTAATTGAATTTATATTTTGTTTATAATCAATTAATTGTGAACAATCAAGAGAAATATTATTAAGATAAATTAAACTTGTTTCATTTTTGATTGTTATTAATTGTGATTTATAATTTAATGATATGATTTGTCCATTAGATAAATTAAATTGAACAGTTAAATATTCATTTGATAATTCATAAAGATTTTCATGAATTATCATTGGAATAATACAAATTATAAAAGAAAATATTAATCCAAACATCAGCTGCATTTTTTCTGTTGTTTTGAATTCTATATGAAACGAACGAAAGAGAAGATAAAATAAACGATTAAAATTCACACTTATATTTGATCTAAACAATAGAGATAAGATAATTGAGAAAATTATTGTGTGTGTATAAAAAAATAATTCTTTTAAAACTCATCTTATTATTTACAAAAATAAGGTGTGACATCTATATTTATCTTTCTTTTATTTTTAACAATCAACATTTTCTCAACTAAACAGAATACACAAAAAAGCCAAGAAAATGACGTATTAAATATAAAGCTTTGTTGTGTTAAGTTTATTAATTCTAGAGATGTCTTTCAATAACCAAACAATATTCATCATTAATTTTGTGGACATAACGTGTTTTGATAAATTTTGAAAAATGAATGAAAATCTTATTTTTACGAAACATGACTGCAATATTTTTTATATCTTATATGTAAGATTATTTTTATTTAGTACTTTCGTTAAAAAATGGTTAGATAAGTGTACGTAATCGACGTAGTGTTTATTTTAAAGCTCTTGTACATTATCATCAAATCGAATCATTTGAGCTTCTGACGGTTTTCCCATACAGTCTACGTAAAACATCATATAGTAAGCAGGAGGTAGGTTTGCTTTTCGTGCATTTGGTGTAACGAAATCGATTTGACGGCTCCGTTTGATTGTGTCCAATTTGACTAGCAATCATGATTTTCTGATCTGAGTTATCTAATAGAATTGTCAGAAACTAAAATAATGGTACTTGCAATTCAGTTACCTATCTGTTATGAAATTGTTTCATTATTAATATTGTTCTCATGATTAGAGATAAAACAACGATAAATATAATTATTTAAGGAATACAATTTTAAGTACCAAATATAAGTATTATTTCTTCGATTTCATATTCATAAGAGCGAATATAATATTATAGACATCCTTGTTTTTCACGCTTTTTAAAAAATGCATTCATGACAAAGAAAAATTAAACTTAATACTATGTTCTCATTTCCTTATTCTGATTTGATCCTGATCGACATAGATTCTCTATCGTTCATTTGATTCTAAATAAATTGATACAACTTTTAATTTGAATAACGAAGGCCGTGTTTGATGTTTTGTATGTAAAAATTGAAATGCCAACACTTGAAACAGAGAAAAGATTTGGTTTTCAGCAATTCAATTTCTATTTTTCAAAATTATTGGATAGTATTATTACTAGATGTTATAGAAGACATTAAAATTATTTTATTTTCTTCCATATTTTATAAGACAAATTAGAGAGTGGAGGCGAGTATTGGAAATTATCTCACCTTCATCCTCATTCTCGATGTAATGAAGATTAAAGTCATGATTTTTTTTAATACAATGTAGAAGAATACAAAACAATTTTAATTTCCCCTAAGAACAAATTTTTTGATTATCTCAGACTTTAGTTTCCTCTATAACATATATATATATACATTTAATAGACTTTTAGCCCCGAAAGACTAATGAAAAAATTTTGAATTTGATTCGTCAAAAGATTTTTTATAGAGTATATTCTTTTTCTTCACTCATACCTCGACAAAATCAGTCTGGCCATTGATAAAAAAAAAGATTTAGTCTACACATGATCCGACATTTATTACACATCGGAAATAATTTATATAAATATTTGTATTGTCTTTATGTTCAAAAATACTTTCTTATTCAAGATTAATGTTAATAACAAATGTTTATAAAATAAATATTCTTTTATCATTTGAACGACATGGCTAGTAGAAAATATTTTATTTGTTTCTGAGCTTTTCTTATCCCGAAAGAAAAAGTGGAAACAATGTCAAGTATTTTACGTCTAATGTTATCTGTTGAAAGAAAAATTAATAAGTTCAACAAGAATTTTAAACAATCTTTTATATAATTTGATTGACAACCAGACAGAAGCACAAGACACATTATTTATAACAAAAAAAAGGATGTTTATTTCATTAATTTCGTCGAGAGAATATTTATTTTTATTAACAACGTATTAGATGATCTTAATATAAGTAATTGAAAACTAAGATTGTCTAATCCATGCACATCACATACGGAGATATTAGGAACTTGTCATTTTCATATGGTTATACTCTTCACACATACATACACAAAAAGAGTATAGCTAATTGATAATCAGATTTTATTATTTGATATTTTACTTAAATGTCTATTCATTTTTTATTTTAAGAAAATATTGAGCCCCATAGCTATTATAAAAACATTAAAATCTTTTTAATAACAAAAAATATAATTATAACACATATTTCGAAATGTATGTCAAAATATATATATGTACTTGTTTTAGTATTCCATAATTCTAGAAAGAAATAATGTGTCGCTCAAGTATTTGTATCTTTACTACAAATTGGTATGTAATTATTGAGAAAAAATTCCTTTTTTTTCGCTGACGACGTTGTACTTTCCCAGATGATTAATAATATAAACAATCATTTATTGTTTTGTATGTAATTATCTTCAAATAGAAATCTTTTAAGAAAAGCCTGACTTTTATTGAGAAAACCATTTAATCTGGAAATAAAACGACCTATATTTAACATAAAACAGCTTACCTAGATTATGACAATTTATAGCGCTCATCCCTCTAGAAAAAGAAATTACATAAGTACTTTGAACTTTACCTGGTTAGAAAATTAGTTCATAGACTAGGTCGATTTGACTTTTTATATCCTAAAGGCAGAATTTTTTTTATATTCATAAAATTGATTACTTTTTTGAAATACTTATAAATAATATATATGAAACAAAGAAAAGCAATAAAAATTTGTAACATGATAATCAAAAATGTTCTTAGTTAAAAAAAAAGGAAGGCATTTCCAACGTTTGATTAATCATAGATTAAACGACTGATTTAACATTGAATAAATTAAAAAAATTCTTGACCTGTAATGGTACCAAAATTGATAACCTTCAAATATTCTAGTTGTGATTTATTTGTAAGTAATTATAATTTGTCTGATATAATCCTATGTCTAGCAGAATAGACAATAATTAGCAGTCCATTGTGTGCACGTAAATAAAAGAGGATTAATTATGTTATGACGTAAGATTTTTAAAAAGAGAATATAAGACACAATTATTACGATAGACTTGGTTTCTCTTTGTTATCAATTTACAGACGATAAATTAACATAAACTTGTTTTGCTTTAAAAAGCACAATAGACACCTGACTTATTTTAATATTGACAATAAATCAGGAAAAAGATTTGTTTTCCTTTGTTTAGCATTTATAAAAAAAAAGGTCGATATAAACCTTTATTCTAACTAATTCTTTTCATCTTGTGATATAAAACAGAATGCATAATTATTTTTCGTCTAAACAAATAAATAATTCAACATGAGTTATGCATGAAACAGAATAAATGAATAGGGTAGTATAAACACTAATGATCGAGATGTAGCAATATTCATATAGAATTGAATGATTTTTATAATAAATGATGTAGATGAAGTTAGCAGCGGATTCGAGTTTTTCTAAATATTATTCGCCTGACAAGGTGTGCCACATATCGTTTGTTGTGTGCCAGATAGAACTCGACGAGCTCTATCAAACGGTATCCTTAGACTTTGTACTAACCTCGTGGAACGTTTCGTATTTATCAAAAAGTCTTTTTTCTCCATGGGAACCATTTCATAAAAACTGTATTTCCTAAAATTATTCGCTCTCATGCACTAAAACTTAGCAACAAACATATATTCCTATGCATCTCGACTTGCTCTATCGATTGATATGCTCCTTTTCACCTGTTAACTAACCATTCCAATACACTTGTATGAAAAACGTCGAAAATCACCATTTTAGCATATATTCATATATATATTCGCTTCACAACGTGTGCCACATTTGAAACCGATTTCATTTGACTCAGAATGAAAAACTCTATCGAATAATGTATAACTCAATATATTTGAATCCATAAAATGGACTTAAAAGCTCTTCAACATCTCTCATGCATATTGTAGCGCCAGCTGCTTAAATTACAAGTCACAAACATGGATGTATTCGGTATAAACCTTGAAAATTCATCAAATCTCATATAATTCTATTATTTTAAACAAAATTCACTCTAAAATGAACTATAGTTTGTTCATATTTGTAATCCTCTTTGAATCGTCGTCTCATATAAACTGAACAGTTGTGCTTATTATTAATAATTTGCATTAGATGTTCATGCCACAATTTATACTAAAGGTGATATAGATATCATTCAATAGAACTCGTTCAATTTCATCAAATAAGATATGGTTGAGTTCTATCTATCATATTTTTTAGCGATTATATGAGAAATACCCAACAGGTATGCTTGTGTACTCGCAAGTTTACCTTTCAAATTCCTTTTTAACTATGTGCCAACACTGATATGCACATCATTCGATAGATCTCATTTTTCTCTATCGAATGATGTGTAGTTCATTGTCTTCGCTGCTATATTTCTTATCATATAACCTGAAAAAATCAACAGGTGTACTTTTTATTGATTATTTACCTTTTTTATTCAAACTCACTTTTGTGCTAGTGTTGATACTTACACCAATCGATAGATCTCATCTTCCTTTATCGCACGATGTATGATTGAACGTTTTTTGTGGTATATTTTCCTATTATGTTAGCATAAAAACTCAGAAGGTGTACTAATTATTGAGTATTTGCCTTTTTTATTTATCTTCACTTGTGTGCCAATGTTGATACATACACCAATCGAGAGATCTCATTTTCCTCTATCGAATAATGTGTAACTCATTGTCTTCGGTACTATATTGCTTATCATATAACCTGAAAAACTCAATAGGTGTACATATTGTTGAATATTTACCGTTTTTATTCATATTCACGTTTGTGCCAACACTGATATGCATATCATTTAATAGATCTCATTTTTCTCTATCGAATCATGTATAGTTCAATTTATTCGCTGCTATATTTTCT